GGCGGAGAGCCGGCCGCGGTTTGCAGGGGCTGCGCGTGTGCGCTGGCTCGGAGAAGGGCTGTCGCTGCTCATGCCTCCTTGTCCTCAGGCAGCGCTGTTAAAAGAGTCCTGTCACAGAGCCAGCGGAGCCGGGTCTGTGGGGTTTTTGGTAGCCTCAAAACTTAACCACAGCGTGAGATGGCAGCGAGACCGGGTTTCTGCTGGTGTCTCTACAGCGAGGTGCCTCAAACGTCAGTGTGTAAGTTGTTATCCCGCTGTCTTCACGCAGAGAGTGCCGCGGACAGGATGGGTGTACCGGAAGGTGGAGAAGCCAGAGAGCGTGTCGGATCACATGTACAGAATGGCAATGATGGCTCTGGTGACCGAAGACAAAAGCCTTAACAAAGACCGGTGAGACTACCTCTGGCTGTCGTGACCCTTTCTTAGTGTGCTGGAAGAAAAGTGCTTACTGCAGCTCCCATACTGAGGAAGAGCTTTTAAAACACCGCGAGGGTATTTGAATCCCCCCCCCCCAACACCCCCATCGCCCTTCCAACAGGTTGCTGTTGACCTGGAGAGGTTAAAGGGACTTTTATCACTTCCATCAGAGCGCTCAGGCAAGTCTTTAACGTAGAGGCTCTGAGCTGGGCTTCTCGCAAGCTATAAATAAGCAAGCTGAAGACCTTCAGTTAAAAGGCAGTCTGAAGAAATAGACAGCGAAGGCAAAGTCATATCCTGTGAGGATTTTGACAGACTCAGTTAGCACTCAGCAGCAGTAAGGAGCCACATAAAGCATATCGCATAGAAGCGAAAACATTGTTAGTATTGAATGTGTTGTCAGATATGCTGTGGTATCGTATTTGCTTTGTCAGTTCAAGAGCTGATGAAACCAGTGAAGACTTTTAGGTATTTTCTTACACACTGACATAGCTACAAAGTTGTGAGCGTGTTTTGTCAGGTTATATATTGAACTTGGGATGGCTCCAATCAGATTACATTCTACTTGTTACAGGGATAATGTGAAGTGTATAATGTAGTTAGCTTTTGTATGCTTGGGTTTAGGAGATGTTATGATAACTAAGTACATTATTCTTGAATGGTATTCTCTTGTACAAACTGTATTTATACTTAAATCTGAATTTACAAACAGCAGTAGCTAGAGATCAGGAATGAAAATCAGGTCTAGGTGGAAGGTATTTCCCTTAGCAAAGAAATGAAAAATATTATGTACAACTGGAAGAAAAAAAAACCCTGTAAAATATACAAAGGAGATAAATTACACAGTCTCTTAAGACACCTTTATTAATTGTGAGGCATAACTTAAATTGCTGAAACACTAATTATTCTGTCTTTGCTTCTTGTCAGATGCATACGATTAGCTTTGGTTCACGATATGGCTGAATGCATTGTTGGAGATATTGCTCCTGCAGATAATATCTCCAAAGAGGAGAAACACAGGAGAGAAGAGGTATGACACATGGCCTGAAATCACATCTGCAAAGCTTTTTACATGTTTTTAATATTACAGTGGGAGTGAAGAGACCTTCAAAGCAGCCTCACTGGCATTGCACAAATATGCCACCAGTAACCAAAGCTTTTTTTTTTTTTTTAAATTTGGACATTGCATCAACAAAATGAAGAAGTACAAGGTCATAGAAGGAAAGCATCTGAAGTGATGTCCATACCAACCATTAATTCCTGTACTGACTAGATTTTTTTGTAGCCTGAGGTGTTAGTCATATTTACCAGCCTTACCAAGAAGTGGGGAGCAGGGAGTAAGTATACTGAGAAGAGCGAATGACAGTGAAGGGATCGTTTTTACAGTTCCAGATAACTTCAATGAATCATAAACTTTATTTAAACAATTTGCACAGGACTCTCGGTATAGATACCAATTTTGTCACTAGTCTTTGCAGTTGGGCTTGATTTATTTTATTTTGGCCGTGTATAAGTCCAAACTGCTGGTTTGTCAATGCTGGTTTGGTGTATTATTTGAAGAAAAAGTAAACCACTCCTTCAGTCACAGCTAGAGGGCACCGTCATGCCTAGTAATTTATTTTGAGGCCGCAATTAGTTCTTTAGAGTGTGATGAACGTTCCAGTGATTTTTTTCCCACTTTTATGCTTGCTTGTTTAAGCTTGGGGGTGAAAGGTTATTAGTAATTATAAGAGTAAGCTGTTTGCTAAGTGCAACTGAAAGATCAAAAAGCTATTCAAAATTCTTTAAATGCTATCTTTACTAACTGTAATTTCAGTCTTTCTGTTTTTTCAGTGCCCTTGTTTAAATTCTTACAGTAAACCAAAAAAACCCCTTTCTCTGATGCCTCCAAAGGTTGTTTTGTCAGCAAGGGTCAGACTTCAACTTGCCTAGAGGAAATTATCAGCTGTATTTAGGCAGTTAAAGAAGAGTTTTGGTGTCTAAATATGTTCACAGAATTTTCTGAAGTATTTGTAGCTCTTTCTGCTCCCTTTTAACTCAATAGCACTTTGCTGTTGACCTCGTGAGAAGGAGGATCGAGTACTGAACATTTATGCTGACCCTGAACTTTGGGGTAAAATTACACCAAGGGTGATGGTTTCATTAGATGGCCTGAGCGGAATTATCAGTACTCTGCTGCTGAGTTCTCTTTTCCCCTCTGCTCTGCAAGCTTTAAGCTCTACTGCTTATGCTGAACTGGTTCTGAAGTTTGCTTGCTTGTTTGGCAAGTTTAAACAGCTAGTTTCACTAAGGCAGCAGAAAATTAATTTGACGTTTAAAAAAAGAAGAGTCATTCTTTTTCCAGGTAAGCCATTTTACCCTGCTATCCGTGAAATGAGATGACCTCCAGAGCTGGAAGGAGGTGGGGAGAAATGAGACCTTAATGCTTCAGTGGTGGGGAGCAGGTGATTTAGTTCAGTCATATTGTGAAACCATATCCTGTGTCTCAAGTGGAGAAACAATTATGGCATAAAATCTTTGTTTTGCCTGTAATGTTGATTGTTTCAGAGCCAGTGCTATATGTTACTAGGAAACAGCAGAAATAGCACAGAAATAAGACTGATTAGCTGGAAGAACATGAAGAACATGCTTGCTGGTTACACCATTAGTTTGATATGGCATTATACCTTGTCCCAAGATTTTTGTTCTTAATAAACGGTATCTCAGCCTGGGAGTAGATTTTTTTCTGTGCCTTTGTTCAAAACTGGAAGTTTTTAAAGGCTTACCTTGTATTGCATACCTGACAATCAGTAGCTGTTCTCAGCACTGCTAGCAGAGATGTGCTGCTTGTGTGTTTGGAAGGGGGCAGTAGTTTGTCAACAGTAGGAGTTTGTATTTTGAAGCTGTATCTGTGGAATGCACCTATAATGTAGTAAGTTCAAACGTTGCCTCACACTTGTCAAATCTGCAAGACAGGGCTGGTAATTGATGGCAGTTCCCCAACATTTGACCTACCTATTTTGCTCTGGGCTTCTTTTCGGACTCTTGAAGTTACTGGATATGCTTTCAGGTTATTTTTCTGTTGCTTGGAATTAATTCTCTAACAATGCATTTAAGGAGCTGCCAGAAAGGATCCCCTATTAAGTGCTCCTACTGTTCTGCTAGCAGGTTTCATGGTGTTTGCATGCACTTTTGAAGAGTATTGTGTAGTATATGCTTTTACAAATTTGGTAACAAGCGGCTAATTTTTTGAAAGAAAATTATAAAGATGTGCTTGCTCAAGTCATGGATATATGCAAACAGCTTCTTTTTTTCAGGCAGCTATGCAACAACTGACCCAGCTTCTGTCAGAGGACCTCAGGAAAGAAATCTATGATCTCTGGGAAGTAAGCTTGCAATCTTTCAATTCTTTACTAAAATTGAGGGTAACCTGTTGTCCTCTTTGTTTGCCTATAAAACTGTGCCATCTCCTATTTGACAGCAAGCAAGGTAGATTCATTTGCTCAGGAGATAAGGCTTGATTTTATTTTTTTTTTAGTGAACAGTATGAGTGAAGATGACTTTGAGATCCCTTTGAAAAAGGAACCATAAACTTTGGTAGAAGAACCAGCCTTTGACCTCACAGAGTTCCGGGTGAACCCTTTCAGGGCTTGGTTTGACAACTGAAATAATAGTTTGCTCTTTATATCCAGCCCTCTTGGATATAAATCTATTTTTTACTACATTGTTTTGTTGACATTTGGCTCTTTGTAGCTCTTTTAATACAGGAAAATATAATGAATCTGATTACGTCATGTAGTAATTTTTTTCTGCTCTTTATACAAGTAATAATTTGTGGCTTTAATTTCTTTGTTATACAGCCCATTAGATTAAAATATTTAGTGGTAAGTTCTGGTTTAAACTTAAATCTGGAGTGCTGATAAAGTACAGTGCTCTTCTATAAGCAACACAGATTGCGGGCTAGTCTTGGATACCTTAAAATGGAAAATATATATTTGAAGGTGATTTACCTTTGTAATGCAAACTCATGCAGTTAATTGTGATGATCTTTTATATTTGCAAACAAGGGATCATTAGATTATTTCCAAACAATTCATGTTTATGATTACTGTGCTTTATCTTCTCCTGCTATACAATCTCATGAGGACAAGTGAGTCCACAATCTCCTGTTCACATCTTGTTGTGAACAAGGGGTTATATGTTTCTTGGCCTCCGTTAACCCAAGGCTGAATTTTATGCTGACGTTCTTACTTTTACACTGAGACTGTATTTAAATTCTAGATATTTATAGCCAACTTCTGTGCTTGGTTATATCTCCCTGTTTTGTTTTTTTGGCTCTAATTGTATGGTTAAACTGGCAACAGAGCTGGTTTTTCAATGCTACACACCAAGGTTAAAGGGGTAAATCAGCATAACCAAATCTGGGAAATATGGAGCATGCATTTGTTTAGTAAACACTGGTTCCTTCTCCATTGGGAAGCTGCTGTAATAGAAGAACAAGAATTTATGATAGATAAGAGTTGTCTTGTGGGATTTTTTAAATATATTTTTTCCTTTGCCTCAGGCTTCTCTTCTGATTCTATAGGAGCTGGTTCATTATGCAGTTATTCTTCAGCATGTTAGCTTTTCATCTTTCTCATTAACCATAATTTAGCATATGCCCACTTTGATCATTTGTTCTTTGTTTGTACCTTCAGGATAATTTATTGGCATTGACTCTCCAGTGTAGCAGTGTCAATGTAAACCACATAGCAACAAGTGTAATCTAAAAATCTAACACTCACATGCAGCCCCTCTAGTCTTACTGTAAGTAGAACAACTAGGTCCATCAAAAAAAAAAAAAGCGGAAGATGAGAATCCTCTGATCACTTGTATAATATTATGCTGCCAGCTAGCCAGAGGCATTTCTATCTGTCTGCTTTCTTCTTGTGAGTGAAGGAAGTGATGGCCCTGATTTGAACAGTGGCTGGACAAGATCTTTTGACACTCTCACCAAGTTCTTCTGCACTGCTCTGTCCT